GCAGCTTCACATAAATATTGAACAGAAGCGGAGAGAGGACCGACCCCTGTGGAACCCCACAAGTTAGGGGCCTTGGGGTCGACCTCTGTCCCCCTGCCAATACAGACTGCGTACGGTCGGTGAGGAAGGAGGAGAACCACCGCATCACAGTGCCTCCCACTCCCAACCCACCCAACCGCCGCAGCATGATACTGTGGTCTACAGTACCTAGGTGGAGTTCCACATTTTATTTGTAAAATATTTTTGAATATGCTAGTGAAAGCAGTAAAATTATAAATATGAATATTTGATTGTAAAACAAAATAATATTCTTTTGCTAAGCCAATGAATAAGTATATTAACCACATGGAAGACAGATAAAAAAAATAAGATTTTGTTTTTTGAAAAAAATATATAAATTTTTAGTCATGTACTGGATATATTAGGTGTATTTGAATCCTTCCATCTCTACATATAGTGAAATCTTGCTTTGTTGTGTATAAGAGTTGCATGGTGTTTTTTTATCTGTCCATCAAGCTTAAAAGGAAAACCTCTGGTTTCAATTGTACATTTAAGAATTCTCTGAATTAAAGTACATATCTGATCAAGATATATATAAAGTAAATATCTGGTCCAGATATTTCTTATCTTTCTTACATATTCACCAAAGATGATAAAAATACCTTCATATTGATTGTATTTCCAACATATATTTGACACTTTCTTATATATTTTTATGATACATCATCCTATAAAAATTCTCTTTCAAGTTATAATTTAATGCAAATTTCAATCCTTTACTCCACATATTCTCCAACTGATCAGGCATTATAATATTATCAAAATATCTTGTCCATTTGATCATAGAGTCTTTGACATATTCATCCTCTATATTCATTTGCAACATTAATTTATGCATCTTAGCAATCACATATAGTCATTAGTACATAATTATGCAAAACATAAGTCCTGTTTTTTCATTGGTAAAATCAAACTACTACTTATCCAGTTTACATATTAATATCTCTCCAGTTAACATTCAATAAATTTTAAATTCCAACTTTATTTCCAGTGCTGCACTTTAAGAAAGATCTATAAAAACAACAATTCTTTAAAGAAGACGGGCTTGCTTATTTGAATTTAAGCACTTTCTCCCAAATAATAACTCAAAACAAAAATTGGTGTAATTGGTTTCGGGAGAAAGCACACTACATTCTGTATATTAAATGTGGTGCGCCTCACAATCCTGAAATCTAATTTCACAGTTCTAAAGAGAAAAGTTTTTAAATTTTCTGTATTGGACTAATAATCAGGTGGCTCTATTCTAACTCCCAAGCTGAAGGCCAGCCAGATGATGCACTGAGACCCCTGGCAGAATATCTTCCAATACAAAACCTGTGCTCTGTTTAATTTTTTTGCAAAAATGAGTGGAAGGCAGCAATAATAATGCTTTGTGTATTTCTGCTTTGGGATGTACTATATTTACTAATAAGAATGTGACATGGTTACAGGATGTGGTATAACTGTAAGAGAACTTCGCTTGTTTTGCTTGTAAATTTCAGCTGTTTTATTGCTTAAAAGATTAATACAGTGGATAATAAATGCCATTTTTCTTAATGAGACATAACAATAAAACAATGGAATATCTGTTTATACTGTTTTAAAATATTAATTTAATCCCTTTCAGAGTCACGACTTGAAGGATGGCTATCGTTGCCGGCTAGAAATAACACAAAGAAATTTGGTTGGGTAAAAAAGGTAAATAATACAATTTTTAGGACATTACTTTGACATGATATGCATCACTAGGCACTATTCAAAAACAAACAAAGCAAATCATTGTTTCTGCTATTGCGCTGCTTTTGAGAAATTA